AAGCCTTGGCTATAAATGGGTTCCTGCCGTCAACGCCTGCAAAGAAATCAATGCGCTGTCGTAGTTTTGCAAAGGGATAAGTTTGCTTTGGAATTGCTGTGCATCATCCATTGCAGTGTTTCTCAACCTTGGCAACTTGAAGATGTCCGGACTTCAACTCCCAGAATTCCCCAGCCAGCGAATGCTGGCTGGGGAACTCTGGGAGTTGAAGTCCGGACATCTTCAAGTTGCCAAGGTTGAGAAACACTGCAATGGATGATGCACAGCAATTCCAAAGCAAACTTATCCCTTTGCAAAACTACGACAGCGCATTGATTTCTTTGCAGGCGTTGACGGCAGGAACCCATTTATAGCCAAGGCTTTGGAGAAGCGGGGTCCGAACCCGGACAGCAAAGATAGGGCAGCAGCGTGACGTCACGGGACCCTTTCCGAAACTTGGCGGTTTTTGTTTTTTTCTTGCTTTCTCTCCGAACGCAGAAGTGTAGAAACCGCCTCTTTCCCGGCCACGCCCTCTACCGGCCACCTGTAGAAACGTCCTCTCCCTATCTCGTCCTCTCTATGGTCTGAGGGATGGCCGTTCTCCAGTCCCCTCCCACTCTTGTCACTGGGCGTTGGGGGGGACGACCGAGAGCCGATTCCCGGCTGGCCAGCCCGCCCGCCCAGCAGCTCCAGTTTTGCCGGAGGACGCTGCCTTCTTGCTGGAGAGGGAGAAAAAAGCAGAAGCGCGAAGCGGAGGCGCTGCCTCCCCAGCCCCTCCAGACCATGCCCTTCGCCCCAGCCAAAGTAGCCACCCGGCTGAGCCAAGGAATCACCGCCAAAAGGGCAGCCGTGGCACTGTTGCTGGCAGCCTATGGGGCCAGGAAGCTGTACCCCATCCTGCGGAGGCAGTGGGCTGCCTCGGTCCTCCAGGTGGATGCAGAGACCGCCAGCCCCAGGGAGTCAAATGCAAAGTGGGGGGAACTCGAGGTGGACGGTGCATCATCATCATCATCACCCCCTGGGGTGAACAAGGTGTTTTTCCTCCGCCTCCTGCGTCTCCTGAGGTTGCTGTTCCCGGGGCCACTCTGCCGGCAGACCGGACTCCTGGCCTTGCATTCAGCTGCCCTTGCTAGCCGCACCTTCCTCTCGGTTTACGTGGCCCAGCTGGACGGGCGCTTGGCCCGCTCCATTGTCCGTAAGAACCCACGGGACTTTGCGTGGCAGCTTCTCCAGTGGCTCCTCATTGCCCTGCCGGCTACTTTTGTCAACAGTGCCATTCGGTACCTGGAAGGACAACTGAGCCTGGCCTTCCGTGGATGCTTAGTGGACCATGCCTACCGGCTCTACTTTGAGGGTCAGACCTACTACCGGGTCAGCAACATGGATGGGCGGTTGCGTAACCCGGACCAGTCGCTCACCGAAGATTTGGTGGCCTTCGCTAATGCCGTGGCCCACCTCTACTCAAACTTGACCAAGCCTGTCCTTGATCTCATTGTGACTTCCTATACCTTGGTCAGTTCCGCTAGATCCAAGGGGGCTGACACAGCCTGGCCCTCGCTTATTGCCGGTTTGGTGGTCTGCATCACTGCCAAGGTGCTACGTGCCTGTTCGCCAAAGTTTGGCCAACTGGTGGCCGAGGAAGCACGCCAGAAAGGAGAGCTGCGCTACATGCATTCTCGGGTGGTGGCCAATTCCGAAGAGATTGCCTTCTACGGTGGGCATAAGGTAAAGTAGGAGGCAGCATGCCAATATTCTTTAGTAGAAAAGGATGGTTTAGGCTTTTAGGAAGAGGAAAAGTCCGTGGGCTATTTGGACTCTTCTGATTCTGAATGAGGAATGACAACAGTCTAATTAGAAAAGGAGAGAGAAAATACTGTGTTTTTATTTTCTGCGTTAGTAATTTACCACCATCTCCTGTAAGATCTATGCCAAAAGTCCCAGCAGCTAACTCTGTTTCGATTCTGCCTTAGGTGAAATGAAGCTGCCCCAAAACATATTTAGACCAGCACCCTTGTTTACTTCCTTCCTTTTGTTGTCTCCTTGAATATGTCCCCAGGCTCATCTAGGGCTCTAACCTTGATTATAATCTATAATCTGTCCTTGTCATTTCCAACTTCCCGCAAAAAATCTTTCTTAGTTTCTGTTGATCCTACCTAATTCAAACAGTTGAAGTAGCCTGAAGGCCTTCTAAGTTTGGCACCGGCTTGTCTTTTAATGTTTCCTACATTCCCAGGCAGAGGAGTGAACTGAAGGGCAGTAAATGTGTATGGTGTAGGGAATTTCTGATCCCCAAATATAGCAATAAGACATACCAGCAAGGAATATCGGTGTAAATCAAA